TAATGACATTTTACGATAAGAAAAACTTTTTATGAAGAATTACTTTTTCCCTTAAAATGCGAAATAAGGAAAATTCGGGTACACACTGTATTTCATATAGCTCTATTTATGGATGTGTCAGACAAAAATGTATATTGCATTGGTTGGGTAGTATAAAAACATCATGTTTATTGATTTTTTGAAAATATTGGTGCCAGCAATTGGTTAATAAAGAGTTTCATTTTGCCTGAATGGAAACTAGGGACCTGATGTTATTATTCTAACAGTGGCATTCAGTTAATTTTGTTATTAAACAGATTATGTAAAAATAATACACTATTCACAATTTGTTTCAGCTTTAAAGAAGGAATCTAGAAAGTAACAATTCATTATTGCGGTCTGGATACACTATTGTGTAATAATTTTTATAAGGTCATTAATAAATACCAAAAATAACATGAGTATTGGGTCAGACCCCTGAGGAACATCTAGTTCAGTCGCAAATAGCCCAGATTCATACATTAAACATTATCTGGTTCAGAAACGTTACTATCATGAAGAGTGTCGGTACAAATTGTAAATTAGTAGACGTTGATTTGAGATAATTTAAGCACGTCGGTTTTATAACTAAAAAAATGTGTGTTCAAATAAAAATAATTGTTTGAATGTTCAAAATAACCACTACTACACAAACACGTACTCCATGAATCCAATAGTCTCGTCAACGCATGAAAATTCCTGGTATCATTGTCACTTCCTGAGCGGGGACAAAAATTCTATCACGAAGCTGCTCTTCGTGTTCAATTTCGCCGGAATACGAATGTTTTCGTATGACCCCACAAACAGATATCTAAAGGATTTATACAGGGTGTTAGAAGCTTGACTGCCTTGATTTTTACAGACGACAGAATACATTAAAATAAACAAAAAAACCTTTCCGACAAAAAAATTATCAAAATCTTCAATTCAATGTTCAAAAATTCGATTAATTCAGGAATATTGACATAACTGCGTGTATAGAATATATCACTTTATTGAACTTCTTTATGATTAATTCTAAAAAATAATTAGCGTTGTAATAAATTTAAAATTCGATAAAATTCATATCGGGCAATGTGACAACGGGGCGGCGGTTTATTAACACGAGGTACTAAGGTGGCCAGTAACCACCAATACACAATCCAGTTGGTATCTGGATTCGAGCGTGTCGGAGTGTTTCTTGTGTACCACTATTTCCTTTTCTTGAGGTGTTTTCCAGCGAGTGTTAGAATTGAGCTATTACATCCAGACATTTCCTAACTTCAAAAAACGGGTCAAAAATAGCAAAAATTCACGAACAAAAATTATTTTTTATGTATTCAAATTTTCATTTATATGGTTAAGACCTCACCGAACGTGAATCCGCGATCAGAATTGATGGTTCTTTTTCTAACCTCAAAAAAAAAAAAACGGGCCAATTAAGGTCAGATATAACGAATTTTCAAAAAGTAACAGAATCGCGCCAAATTGGGTATACGGGGTCGCTGATCAGGGATCTGAAGTCAATTTTGAAAAATTCAAGATCCAAGATGAAGGAAAAAAATGTTTTTCTCATTTTTTTTACAGATTATGAGCATTTGAAGGCAAAAAAAAACGTGATCCTTTAATATTTTAAAAAATTCAATCGAATGAAACAAAAAAACGGCTTGATGGATCGAATTGAAACTCTGTAGGGCTTCTAAGGGTACAATGACCTGTAAAAGGCACACTTAACATTAGTCATTTTCCTAATATTCTCAATGTGGCACGTGATTTTCTAGAAGACCCCTAAAAGTCCTATTTTTACGATTTTTCAGTCATGTTAAGGATAAAAAAAATATTTTTTTTCTAAAAAACCGTGCCAGGACCTTGTAGGGAATTCATTCAAGTTTCTGAAACCCACCGTCGATTTTCTGTGCAAACATTGGTTTCTGAGATATCGATGAACAAAGAGAAAATTATCCATTTTCATTCAAAGTCCGATAGTTCAGCGAGAAATGGTCGTATCGAGACCAAAAAAAAAGGAATTTGAGGTTCATTGACCACCTTTTTTATTCCTTAGGTTGTTTAGTTTGGAAAATTTTTATTTTTTTTTGCAGGTTCCAAAATTTGGAACTTTCAGGTTTCAATTTGTTTTTTTTTTCTTTTATTCGGCCCTTTTTTTTCAAGGTTCCGGCCTTTTGAAAACTCGCCGAAAATTTTGATTTTTTTTGATCCCTTAATTTTTTCCACTAGTTTAAAACTAAACTAATAAAACATATATTCTTAGAAAACAATGATTAATGTTTGATCCAGGTCATATACGGATTCAAGGATCGCAATTGCGATTAATAAATGATATATTACTACAAACAGCTCAATTAGCTCCACGCTCGTAACTGTCATATAAAGTAATTAAACTAATCTAAAGTTAACACCGGCGAATGTGTAGCAGAGTAAATAAAACATATCTTACGAATCCGCGTTATATATTAATTTTATGTATTCCGACATTAATAGGTTTGCGACACTTGCAAAGTGACTTCGGGTACACGAGATAGTCGCAGTAAACGCAATAAAATCCAGTTACACGGACAACCGCGCGTATTTCACGTTTTTGTCTCGCAACGTACACAGATAATTGTTACGGCAATTTGCGCAATTCCGGGCAAATTACTGCGTAATTATACACATATATAATTATAGATTTCTAACTTTTAATTTCGCCCGAATGATAAGGCTTTCGTAAAAATCACTTAAAGCAGCATGTAACACGTGTTGATGCAAGACCACGGTTGTTACACACGCTCGTTTATACAGAAGCATAAGTGAAACTAATGGACACCTGTTTGGAGTTGGAGTGTTTACACTTTTGAAGACAGTTGTTGATTTTGTTGAACACTTGCTAGACATGTTCTTCCTCAAATGAACCGAATATATCTATCTGTGTCAGTTTCCAAAGGTGTTGTAATTTCTATAAAAGCATATTGCGATTGCGTTTCTCCATATTACGGAAAAATACGTACTTATAAAATATTTAGAAGTAAAAGGTTGTCTGGGAGTGTGTCGAATGTCCGAAAATCGCTTTGTCAGTGTCAGTATAAACAAATTTTTGTAATGCAGCACACAAATACACAAAAGACAAGTCTCTCAAATTATAAAAAAATTTCACTCAAATTTCACTCAATTTTACTCAAAAAGGTCTCAGTGTTTGTCCACATTCAATATAGTGAAGTTTTCACTCTATTTAACTATTATTGTCATTTTTTACTCAGACTTGGTTTTTAATTAACTAAATATTGAGTGCAAAAATAAATCACTCACAAATGATTAATTAGAATAATTAATTCACTTTGCGGGGCCTCCTCCTGTCCTGGCTGAGACCCGTCAGCTGAGACCCGTCGCCGCTGGCTAAGACCTGTTATCCTGACGATCACGCTTTTCTGGATCATCTAACGGGCCTCTATCAACTGTGGTCGGGATTACAGAAGCATTATGTAAGTGGTGCCATCTTCACGGCGCCATTCAAGTTACTCGAAATTAATATACATTTAAACCCACTTAGTAATGACGACATTTACTCTGATTTAGGTACAAGTGCACCAAATACGAGTTTACGTGAAGAATTTATGTAAGGAGTACTTATATTTGAATGAAAATACTCAGTTATTTGTCGTCAGTCGACTTGTGCGAAACAAACCTTATACACACTTTTCGCTGACCCAAATGTTCGGTTAAAATGCGAATAAATTGTTGTTTTTGAGATGCTCAATTCCAATTCCATGAATTTCATAGAAGATATTGACTGATTTTTTAAGAATTCACGCACAATTTATACTGTTACTTTATAACTCCGCTTCTGTTACTATATAATTGCAATTCCAAATATGTGGCTTCATATTATAAATATTACAACGAAAATTTAAGCAAATATATATTTAAATATCCCGAAGACACCTGATAAATTTATGAACACGATTACATCAAATGGCAAGCATCGAGAAAACATTAACACTGTAATCAAACACAACAGCTATAATCTTTAAAAGGTCTCCTACTTTATTAGTTCCTCCAGTTGTTATACTGAGGAGAAAATTACACTTTCTTCTTTTTAACGTGAAGAATAACCAGTTATCGTTAATAGTTCACGGTAATGTCAACAAACACACAGAGGTTGCGTTAATAAATAGAAATCTAATGGGAATTTATTGCACCGTCATTTAGGAAGACAATACCACACATGTCGCTGGTGTTACTGACTGGAATAATAGAAAAATTCGATTTGCCGAGAATCCAACTCGGCTAGTTTTTAACTTAACGTGACTTCCCGTTCTGACTCTATAATTTATATGTCAACTTCTTCGAGTTTATTTTATTCGTACGTGTAAACGTCAAAAGGTAGACCCTGAATTAATTAATGACTGTATTGTTTCCTGCCTTCATATTTGTATCGCGTTTACAAGTGGGCGGACGTTTATTAATTTTGGACGGTAATTGCTCTTATATGGTCTACCATAAATCACATAGATTGATTATATTATGGGTCGACGTCATAATTACTCTCGTGTGCAATCCCGTACTTTTTTATCTAACTGCTTTGTGTAGATTTAACGTTCCAATAAATTTTTGGTACGGATAAATTATAGCCACTTTATTTTTTGGCCCACGGGGCGCAAAAAGCGTTATTAATGACCAGGCAGATGGGGATTAGAAGGACAATTGAAGTATTTCTACAGAAAATATTACAAACTTTTACTGCAGGGCTAGGATCTCAATATACAGTGTGGGAAGAACCTCGGTAACCATTACAAACTTAAAAATAACAACACGTCGAATTTCAATAACAACTGACCATTGAAAAAAGACGTCGATGCAGAAAATGATCCTTTGGATCAACGTGTATAGATATTTTCCATCAAATCGTTCGTGACTCCTGTTTTTTGCGCTATTTTTTTCTGCAGTGCTACAGCATTTACAAAATATGTATTACACGATATCATTTTTAACACGCCATCTTCTTCCAGTTGAGGTGGAAGGCTATGGGCCATACAAGCCAGTCCCGCCACCAAAGCCGCTCCCCCAGCAAGCTCTCCAGTCGCAGGAGCTGCAGCAGCTCGATTGCTTCACGCCGCCCCCCTACAGAATGCCCCCTTACCCCCTGTTCAACGAGCCGAACATCCCAGGTGCAGCTGGTTTAGATCATCCCATCGCCTCTTCTAGTCCTGCCACTCCCCAAGGACTCCACACGCACTCCAGTAAATTTCCGGTGAGTACGCATAGTTAGAATGAATTTCAGTTTAGCTCATTTGCACACTGTTATTGTTTTAATAACATTTATGCAGTTTGCTAGAAGCATGGTGTAACGATAAACTTACAGGATTGAAACAAAAGAAAAAATTTTTTCCTGAAACCTAAAAGGCCAAAACTCTGCAATAAGTAGATTTCATTTTGGCGTGTTATTCGTGGGATTCATTAGGCATTTTGATTATTTAAAGGCTTTCAGGTTTTGCACACTAGGTAAACCGAATGAACTGTTACAGCCGACTGACTTGCACGGTGGTCGCTTTTGAAGAATATCACAAATTAATTGGCATTTGCTCTGTGGCTAAAAGTTTTCGTACGGCTTCTGTGATTGTATTCAGTCATACAAGATTGTACATACTGAGACTGTAGGTATGGTAGACACGTTCAACGAATAAGAATTCAGATATAAAAGTTTGTAACTGCGCGAAAAAAGAACTTTGACTCGAACGGAATATTTATAAAACGGATAAAATATGAAACTCCATGGGCACAATGATGCGTCTTCTGTTGCTAGGCAGAAAACAAACTAATTCTTTAAGATAAGCGTAAATATAGACACACTAGCACGCACATGTCTACACGCGATACATACCTACTATGTGTATAGTCCAGGCGTTAGATCAGTAAAAATAGGCTTTGGCGTTTGTATTCGAAGTAATCTATTTTGTTGTACAGAAACATCCCAAATGTTATGTAGACTAAAATCCAAGTTTGCCTATTCTAAAAAAACCATTGCAAAATTCAGGGGAACAACAAATATACAAAAAGAACGAAAATTGACCCGTTTTTCGACATATGCAAATCAGAAAAGTTCAACTTTCCATTAACAATGGGCGAAAAATAGTAGAAAATTATGTCTATATTCGGAGCAATTTTAAAATAAGTAAATATTTATAAATGAAAATGAAAATGAAGTTATGAAACTTTGTGAACAAATAGTAAAACATATATCAATTCTACCCTAAATATTTCAAAAAGTTTATCGCGTACCGTGGATTTAAATTAAGGTTTAGAAAGGGCACACAATTTTTTAGAGATACTTGTTGTCATAATAAACAATGATCAATACTAAAAATACTCATTTTTACACTTTTATAACCATTTACATTTTTTTTTAATTTTTCAACATTTCACTCCTATATTCATTCTTTTATTTTATTGATTTTTGGTGACATATTTGTATTCCTTTCATTTTGCTACATCAAATTTAAAAAAATTTATCTGCCGAAAAGTCACTAAACGGATATTGAAAGTACTTGTACTGTTTTTTTCTCGATTTCAGGATTACGTAAGCTATAAATTATTATTAACCTTACGCTTCTATATCTCAGAATCTACACAGTAGAATGCTGTCGTATTTGACTAAAAAGCAAGGGGTTACGACATAGTTTTTATGTGTGCAAGATTTTGTTGATTACATAGAAAATTCCCTGGGCAATAAATAATTGTTTATAGAGTAAAATGTTGAAAAATTAAAAAAAAATCTAATTGGTTATAAAAGTGTAAAAATATGTATTTTTAGTATTGATCATTGTTTATTATGTATCTCTAAAAAATTGTGTGCCCTTTCTAAACCTTAATTTAAACCCATGGTACGCGATAAATTTTTTGAAATTTTCTTAATTAACTATCCTGTCAATCGAAAACCACGCTATCGATCGTTGCATAATTTTTAGAGTAGAATTGACATACATATGTTTTACTATTTGTTCACAAAGTTTCATCAATATTTTTAAATATTTACTTATTTTAAAAATTGCTCCAAGTATACATATGATTTTCTAATATTTTTCGCCTATTGTTAATGTAAAATTCAATTTTTTTAATTCGCAGCTGTTGTAACTTTATAGAAAATAGTCAAATAAACAAAAAATAAAGCATGACTTTTTTTTATTTAGGGCTTACTTTCAATGTTACAGGGAAAAACATGTCGAAAAACGGGTTATTTTTCGGTCTTTTTGTATGTTTGTTGTTTCTCTAAATTTAGCAATGGTTTTTTGGAAGAGGCAAACTCGAATTATTATTCTACATAATATTTGGGATTTTTCTGTACAACAAAATAGATGACTTTAAATACAAACGCCTCGAATACTCTACCGTCTGGACTAGTACGAGTATACAGGTAATAATGCATGGAGGATTGTCTGACTTCAGAATATACGGAGCGCCTCTAAAAGATCTGGACAAAATTGTACCGCACACCCTCACAATTATTTTTTGTAATTTTTATTGTTCTTGGCCTGTTGGCTTCTACATATCTGTAGTCTTTACATTTTTTAATGCAGTTGGCTCGTTAGCCTTTAAACACGGTCCAAAGGTTTAGAACTAGTTCGGACCAGTCCCAAGCTTGCATACACTGAGAAGGGCAATGACGAGTTCAGAAAATGAAACCTTTAAATTTAAATATCGAGAAAACGGTTGATCAAAACGATATTTACCAAGAAAAAATTAAAAATTCAATAGATCAAGGCACAAAAAAGTTATGACCTATTAAATGCATGTGAAGTACTGTAAGTGGCGCCATCTAATAATTACAACAAATTCGAGACAGGTTTCAATTTCTCATGCCAGCAAACTCCCCCATACCAAGTCATGCCTCGAACTTAATTTAGCCTTTGTTAATAAATATCTTCTGATTGAACCTGTAGGTGTCAATAGAGGAATACTGTGATTTATTGGATTATGAGGCGTGTTGAGTAACCACCCCAACAGTAATTAAATTTAGCATTAAAGATTATCGTTTTCATGCAAATTCAGTGAGAATTTCCCACTACGCAAACGAACTCTCCTAGCAGTATTTTTAACTAGACGCATTCCGTTATTCTACAGTGTGAAACACTGAACTAAATAAAAAAAATAATATGCATTGTGGCTCTTGACGTTTTGAACTCATTTTCGTGTCAACGAATAGCTTTTCAGTACATAAGAGCTCGAATATAACATTTGATTCTTGTAAATTTTATGAAAAGGAATACTTACTAGATAATACTAGTTCCATTTTGTTTACCTCGGGATATTTTTTAATGAATTATTTGCCCATGGTGTTGTTGTTTACTGTCTTTTCTAACCTTTTACTAAACATTACAGTGGCGAAACACTTTCACTGTTACCAAACACAGTCTAATAATATGTTTTGACAGCTTCTATAATTAATAGTGACAGATTTTACAAAACAAAATTGATAAAAATCTAATATTTCAAGAACATATTTAGGTTATACGAATTTGATATTATGTGAGATGAGACACAGTTACTTAATTGGCGAGTTTTACTGGAGGCATTTTTAAAAGTGTACCACAATACCATTGTATTATTTAATAACTGACATTAATTTTATGTATAGGAATACTATCAATGTGGTTGTATTTGGTGAGTAAGACTGTTTACTTTTAACACAAGTGATGAAATAGTAAGTGCTTTTAACACTCAATTTTTCCTGTCACTTTTAATAAGGTAAATAAACATTGAAAGGTCTACCTGTATTAGCAGCAGTAGAAAAAAAATGCTTTAATGGCATTGAAAAAAGTGTGAATAATGTTAATTCGGAAGATATTTTAACATCTGGTTATGATAATCACTACTTTTGAATTCATTAGTTTTCTTTGACAATGTATAACAAAAAAAACTAATTTTCTTTCTTTTGACGATTTCTTTAGTAGGTATTTTAATTTTAAATACCAGTACTTATTGTTATTATTTTTATTGTTTATTCATTTTATTATTAAGGTCAAGTATTTTTTATTAAATAGCAGTTATTTATTGTATAAGTGTTTGTTTTAAGTTACATTTTATACACGCAAGAATTTGTAATATTCTTAAGTGGATAAAAGGCAATTAAAACACAAATGCAATACAACGTGTTATCAATAATCATATCACAATTATATTTGAATTGGAGGATAATATTACATATATTTCTATGTGTATATGTCGAAAGAATAACGGCCAATCAAATTTTTCAAAAAACAACTACAGCAGCAGCAGTTTCTAAATATGCACCTTGTAGAATCTATATTAAAAACATATTTGAATTTAATTCCATTTGTTAGTTATTATCTAGTGATTTATGCACTTCTGTAAATCGAGACACTCGGTATGTATTTATAAATATTATATGTCGTCAAATAACTAAACATATGTAGATTAATTTTCGAATTCTTTATAGTTATTTATCAAACAAACATTAGAAAGCATACCAAAACTAATTTTAGCACATAATATGATAAACTGCTAAAATTAAAAAATTAATTAGGAATGAAAGTTGACAAAACACAATTATAAATGATCGTAAACACACCCATTATTAAATAATAGCTAAACATTCACCAAATCTGAAATAACCACATCAAAATTTGGAAAAATGGGTTAATAGGCACAACATTATAATTTCAATCAACTTTCATATCATGTGGACCTCCAATTTTGATCAATTAATTCTATTCAGTCACCAACCTAATATGTAATTTCACTTTTTGCAATACAGGAAGGCCTGGGCGTCTCTGAGGTAACTCACGGTTTTTTTTTTATTCTCAGTTATAACTTTTACAGGAATAATTACATTGTAATGATTCACCACGGTGTGGGACACATTTTATGAAACGGTCTTTAGCATTCGATTATGACAGATGAAAGTGATACCTTGTTGGAAATACGTTTGTCCAAAGAAACAGTGTGTGCACACGTCAGAATTTATGGTTGATTAATTTATAGTCACATTGATCCGGCTTGCGTAAGGTAATTTATTGAATTTATTGTTGTTGTTCCTTATTTTTTGCCCACGATGAATATAAAGGAGATATTGACACTCTGTAAACAGTATATAAATTAGCAGAAATAGTTTTATTAATTAACAACGGGTTTCATACACAGGCAAGGAAAATATTATTAAATTTCGTGGTAATATTAAAAGCTGTTCCTTCTTCAAATCACTAATGAAAGCTGTAGTGTAGCTGAATATCTTTTTATACTTGTAAAAGATCCAGGCGAGCTATCGATTCAGTCAGCGGTTCCAAAAATCTTATATTGCGCACATCTTTCCATTTGTATTAATTTTTCCTTTACATATAGACTCCCTCGAAATATCTGTTTATAATGTTCTCAGCCGACAATCTGCAATGAACACTCAACTGAATTAGTTGCAAGCAATGCAACGCGGTTTCAAATTGATCTGACGACGGATCGTCTTAGCCTTAAATTCCACGAAGCACCTTGTTTTCGAGATTCTACAAAGTTAAGTCCTTGCAATTACTTGCACTACAATTACGTCAATAGTTAGTGGCTTATTTCGCTCTCTTAATTAACCGACTATACGTTCTCTAACTTGGTAAATTGGCAGTAACTTGTCCTCGGTGTTAGTTCGAACACTGGTAGTTTTTGTCGATACTGGTAACGATGTATACCTAATAAGGAGCCCGATGGATAATACGAACATTAAAAAGTCATTATTAAAGTCATTTTATACTAATAAAATGAATACACTAAGTAGAAAAAACTTGAAATTTTATAAAAATGTCTGTTGCATAAATAAATTAAATCCAATAATAGTTACAAAACACAACTGGTTATCAGGTCCGTCAAGTTGAAACATTATATTTTAAATACTCAGTAATTCTTAAGTTAATTTGTACTGCATAATGTAATTTTTGTGCTCTATTAATTTTTGAGATATTTTGAACACTACAATGTGTCGCAAACTTGAGACTCTTACATCGAATTTAACAATTTTAAGTGTTCAAATATTTACGCATATTTCTTATAGTTTTACGATTTCATCATTATTTATTTAAAAAAGAAACACATCATTTGAAAATAAATTAAATTTAATTTGATAAGAAAACTAGTTTCCATCTGTTAGATCATCCTTTCTAAAAAAGTGAAGGTTCACAAAACAGAATACTTTCATGAATTAACACATTCATCAATCAAACTGTAAAAGAAATTGTATATTTATACATAACAATAAACAGCTAAATTGTTGGTGCTAATTAAAAATGGGTTGAAAAATGTTCCTTCTTCTCAAATTTGTTTTCAATCTTCTGATACAATAATTACAATTATTTACTCCTCACTGCTATAAATTCAGGAATGTGACTGGTAAATCGCTCATACCTTTTAAGGAAAAAATAAAAATGGCTCTGAATGCGAATACCAATCATACTTTATCCGAGAATTATCTACATTACAATCAGTGCATATTGACATGTATCGATAGGTATCTGTTGTGTTTATCAATAACAATTAATGCTAATACATTAATCTAAAGATTGTGTTTTCGTCATATCAATGTCATATTTTCTCGCATTTATCTTTGACAGTATCGAGATAACTTTTGTCAAATCAATGTAGATGATAAAATAATTAAATTCAATTTGTCTGGTATATACGAATTAGTACTAACATATCTTTTTAAAGGAATTCATTCCTAAAGATTTAGTAAAGTAATAAGTGCTTTTATGAAGATTATAACGATAAACAAAAATAATATGACCTTCTATATCCATAACTTCAGGAGATTGTTTATCTGATTAATTCTGACAACTCAAGACTACTGATTTTCTAGAGATTTTCCGGAGTTTAAAAAGATATCGCATTGATTCAATGTTAAAAAATGATTCAAAAAGCAAACTCTCTATGTTTATGGTTTCCTTTTTTTCAAATTTTCACGTATATAGAAAGCTCCTTCGAAAGAATCCGAAAGAATCAACGTAATTTTTAAGCGTTAGCTGCTGGTGGCAGTCAGAAAGTACGTCCCGTGAAATATTACCGATTGTTCTAAGCATACGTGTTTGTAATGGCATCTTGTTTTATTGTAGATTGAAAGGGAAGTTATACTGTCAAGCACTGACAAGAATTCCAAAATCCCCATCCTTCACGACTACAAGAAGCGGACAAAAGCTTCAGTAGCACCAGACGCCCCACCCAAACAGATGGCTGCCTGGACTCAAGGACAAATTCAAAACCACCAAATATTGCCGGATCAGGTAAATATACGCAAATATGTAATAGAGGGAGTAAAATTATTTTTATGTCTTTGATGGTTTAGTAGCTTGAATAATTTCTCTCTCGGATCACTCCTAACTATATTTTAGGAATATACAGGGTGATTCACAAATGGTGACCAAAAATGAAATTATATAGGAAGGATGTTCCAATCTTGGAAACTCTTAAAAACATTATAATTTTTCCACTATTTAAACTAATTGATCAATGTATTGCTCCAACATATTTCCTACAGCTTACTAGTTATCCAAGATTATTCCTGTTTTTAACAAGGGTGAGAGAGATGATGTAGCTTATCTAACTACCGACAAGCACATTAGTCATCATTTTAATGATTTTTTTTGAGTAAATGCTCAAAAATACTTGTAATTGTAATATAATTTGTTCGAAATTTATTGTTGCTTGAATGCGATGCAAAGTATTTTATTCTTTCTTCTAACTACTCAGATTGTCAAAGTTGCTATCGCAGCCACTATGTAATTTTAAAAAGCATTATATTCGAATATCGAAGTGTGTTCTTAGTTCGTTTTTTAAGTTTTACTCGAAAATCAGCCTTTTTTCGAAAAACATAAGAGTGTAGTAATTTGTAGAAAATTGAAAGACGGATCCGAAAATATTATGGTTGTTACCGTGAAGCAGTGGCGTACTATTTTATTTAGAAAAATATGTCACCGATACCCTGTACCTCCGCCACTGGAGCTTGTAAATTTTACGAAAAGCCCTCAGATTTTGGAAAATGTTTACATAAATAAATATGCCCAATTTCAAATTATTTCACTTACCAGTTTTTAAATTATTTAAAAAAATTAAAAATATTATTTGAAATTTCTAGATAAAAACTTTATAGAAAATACTTCTCTTAAAATTCAGTAAAGAATACGAGACTCCATTTTTGGTCATCATTTGTGAATCACCTTGTATATAGGGAGTCCCTGTGAAAACAGCGTCTTTACCAGAGATTTAGCGATTCGGAAAATTGGAACAGTTGGGAAAAATCTATTGTTTCATTGTTTATGCTGAAGCTACACAATTGAAAAATAAAAAAAAATAGAAGAAATTCGGCATTTCAAATAAACTTATCAAACAATTTTTGAATCAGAAATCTCAAGCTATAGGACTCGTTTTTTGAAATGCCCTGTATAAATTAATATTTACCTATAAGGTAATATGAAAAATCTATTTTAATAGGAAGCCATAAAAAACTTGTTAGCTATACTGAACATTTAAAGTTCTACAAAAAGAAAAACAACTAAAAATGCTGTACAGGCAATTTAAGCAGCATAAAAAGTCTAGTAATTGCACGTCACATTGTTTAAAAATGTACTTCAAAGAACCTCTTTCCCACTTTACAGTTTATGTTTAATAATATTCAAACTGTTAAGAAACTAGGCACCAATGCCACACCCTATATAATTATTTTGACACGTTTTTCTCTCATTTGAATACACTGTACGAAAAAATCAATTAAATCAAGCTAAGCAACCTTTATACAGATAAGCATTATATAAAACTATCTAATACCTTTTGCACGATTCTAAATGTTATTTAAAGGCTTTTATAACCATAAATTCAATAAACATGGTTCGAGAAAGTTAATTTAAAAATTGCCATTTACCTTATTTCTCGACTAGTCTCTAAGCATGAGTATGTATGTTTGTTTAAGTTTGTTACCTAAAGGTACAACTATAAACCCTATTTTTCAAATTATAATGTTAATAATTCACCATTTGTTGTGTTATTACTACGGCTCTTACAAAAGACTAACATTCAAGCTGACGAAATTAAATTAAAAAATAATGAACTTCGTATCCCATTAATTTTTTTACTGTCAGTCATGGAAAAATACCTAAAAAAATTATGTCGTAATAGTTAAAAATTTTATATCCACATAAGTTATATCGCTGAATACATACATTATAAAAAGTGTCATAGACCTATCTTGTAAAAAATATACCTAGTCACATAAAATATTCATTTAAAATTCCTCTGAATATATCGTCTATAAAAAATAACGCGAAGTACGCCACCATTCATTTGAATATAAGCGTTTCTGTCTGGGGTATGACTTGTAGTATTTTTTATTCATTTACCGGTGAGCTTGCGAGAGTATGACTCTACATTTTGATTTAGAAAGTGAGTTTGACGCTTTACCTGTCGTTGCAGTCTCCCATTGACTTCACAGTTTTTGCAGACTTGTTTACGTAACAATTTTTTTAATCATAAACGTAATTAGTACGGAATATTTTAGAGCAACATAAATGTTTATGTTGACGTATTTGAGTCGCGTAGCTACGAAAACTGGCAACTTTGTTAAAACTTATTGAGGACCTCTTGAGTCGTACATGGTTTTGAATAGTTGTGGCCGCAGATATAGCGCCGTCTACTTTTTTGTTTCAATTTTTGTCGTAAACAGAATTATTACTAGTTCAATTTTAGGTACGTCCTTTGATTTTTATTGTTTAACAAATGTTAGGCGAGGTCATTTAGTTCTCTGACTTCTTACTATTAAAAGTTTTCTTTTGTGTTCATCTAGAATCTGTGCATTAATAAGTGCGAATAAACTCACTAAAATAGCACACATTTATGTATAACGAATTGGATAGCACTTATTAAAAAAGTTAAGCTGGATAGAACCAGCGGTAATCAGCGGTTCCAGAAATGTTTCTTCTTGATATTGTGGTAGTTAGTAGATATTAAAAATATTATTCTGTTTGCAAAAAATAGTTTTCAGTAAAAATCAGGTATCAAAAAAAAACACCTTCTTCAACATATATGGGATTTGTGTGGTTCTAGAGGTGTCCACCCTGTATCTCACAAACGTCTAGGTGTCAGGGCATGGCATTCTAATTCCACTCTACACGAGTTACTCCTATTCTTGGAAATCGAATCACGTACCATCAGCACACGCGATTGTTTAGGTAACTAGATATTTGATAACTACAGGCTCATTACCTTCTAGACTCATGTAGAAAGCTTGACATTGTTAAGCCATCGTGATAAAACAATACGGAATAGTCCGTTCAGCAATAACGCTAGAATTTTATAATTTACGGTCGATTTATGTACAATATTTTAATCCACGATCCTACAGTTAACAGTTTGCGAATAATAGAAAAATTAAAAACAGTTTTTGATATACATGATGCCAGTTTTTCGGTTATTTCAGCCTTGTTTCCCTTGGTTATGATAAGTTTTTCCCTTCCTGAGAAGTTTTGTAAAAAAATTAGCCTGCAAAATTTAGAACATTTGTAGGAAAGTGAAGAAACAGTTGACACGATTAGTATGTATAGCATATATGAGATAAATAAAGTTTTTAGTCTTTTTAAGCATCAATTTGTTTTAATCCTCCTTAAGTTCGTAAACACCCCGTGTAGAACTATACTATACATACAGTTATTATGAACCATCGACTAATCAGTTTTAAACATTATATTTGACTTGTTTTTATTTCTATACGCAATCCCTATGGACAACCTGTTTTCCAAAACATATTTTTAGTTGGTAGGTTTTAGCTTAGTTTGGTAACTAACAGTGCTTTCAGCGCGACTCGTAGCTTGCGGAAAGCCATTACCCAGATGGAAATTTCAACTTAATTAAAGTAATAAACGTGAGGGTGATTACCCTTCAAGTAGTGCACTAATCATTAACGATTTGACTATCGTGGTGAATTACAGTCGATTAATGTGAGATGCGGATTTTATCGCTTGCTCGCATGGAACATTGTTTCGCAACACGATGGACATGTTTATTGAAATGCAAATCGGAGGAGGATATTGGAGACGAAGCATTGAGTGGTTCAAAAAACCACGTAAAAACAAATTTTGTGCATTGTTTCACGTTAACATGCATTTGCGTAAATATGACAATAAAATCTTTATTTATATCCGCAATTTCAGCTCACAAATTTAATTTACACATGTTAGGTGTGTGTTTTTGTATTGTAGTTTGTATTTTTCAAAAATTTTTTGAAGATTACGTGGTATTTCAAATTGTATTTCGAATAAAATATGTTATTTTTGTTATTTAACGAGGATGTACGGCATTTTATTGCAATAAATAAATCTACAGTATTAAAAAATTAAGCAAAGAAAAAAATAATTTAAGAATATGATTTAGAACATTAGGAAGACCAATACTAGAAAGAAAAATAAGATAAGATCCGCAATGGGTCTAGAGAAAATAAGTGAAAACGAGCACAAGCAGTTAATGAATTATGAAATAGAAAAGATACTGGGAAAACAAAATATTGTAGGAATTATTAAATCGATGAAACTTAGATGATATCGACACATGCATTGAAGAAAAAGAAGGCAGCATGATAACCACGATTGAATGAAATTTAGTGTATAATAGAGGCAGGGAAATCACAAGAAGCAGGTATATAGAACAGTGTTTATGAAAGACAACAAAGGATTGACGGTAGAACAGTGGATGAAACAAAAACAACAAAGGAAAAGAATGGAGAAGTGGAGAAAATAGATTACAAAACAAAAATTGACGAGGCACCAAGAGAAAGCAGTAAAGATTGATCCGCCTAGCAGATAAGATAATTTCAGTTCTAACTAAAAAACAGGTACAATTTTTTATGAAAGATTATTCAAACACTTCTCTAAAGAATGTGATGACATTGACAGTGGTGATGCCACTATTGGGTATACCAACCCCTAACGTAAATGTGAATTTTCCACATCGAATCACAAATTTCTTCAGTTCAACGTATTCTCAACAGAGACAATTTCATAGCAATAGCGGCTCGTGACATCGTGAATAGGTGAAGCCCGTGGTTGGTTTACTCAGTAGGCAATAAAGTAAGGCAATAAAGCAGTTTTTTGAACACCTTGTACAATACTAAGTGAAAAATACACTGCAAAGCTGGTTCCTTAAAATTATTTTTTTTATTGCTAATATTAAATTTCTACGCTAAGCCTGCATTTTCACTAAAATTGAAATATCTCACAAACAATAAGTACTAGGTATGCAG